TGTGCAAGAATCTGCAACAATTCAAGCTTCCCTTATCCTTGATTGCTCTGAATGATTAAGATGGAATCGCCTCCTTAAAAATCATTTTACAGTGATAGAGCAGCCTTAGAAAGTAGTGAACAGCAAGTAAAAATATAGAATGATATGAGCCCCAGATAGTGGTGAAGTAATACATTCATCTAAGGCAGAATGTTATTAGGAAAAAATGTAGATATATCAAAAGTAAATTTAGTCTGTGTAGTGAAAGACAAGTTTCAGAGACTTTGGAGAATAGAAATATTAAAGGCTGCTTTACCAAACACTTTTCCTATGTGGTGGAGGGAAAATACTGAACGTAGAAAAACACATAGTCACCTGCATGCCTTTGCCTGGAACAGTATTCTTTTAGCAAAATAAATTTTCATCCTACAGACTCTATACTTCAGATTAAAGCTTAAATTGGTATTGATAGTGCTGCACAGTAAAGAGAGCGATAGAGATCTTATATTTGCTTTTGCTCCCATAGATTTTTTTTTTAAATGAATCCAAATGCATGGACCCACATAGATCTCCATAACTTTTATGTGGAATATCAGTAAAACCATGTTAAAAACAAAAACCACAGACAATATCTGTGCACATAATGATGACTGACAAATGGGATGCTGTGGGCATGAAGTCACACAGTGAATTTGTGAGAGATTCAAGATATATAGCCACCGCCTTCCATGGATGGGAACTATGCAGAAGTGCAACCAGAAGAGACATGAGGGAGAGTGGGTAGTGAGAGGTTTTGGGCACTGTCATCAAGCACCATGTTGACAGAAGGCACTGTACAGTCTCTTGTACTGCTGGTCCAAAGCTTCCTACTATATCTCAAGATGTATGCACTAAGTCCTTTGTGCAAATCTTCTGCAATGGGTTCCACAACAGTACCACAGGTTTTATATTCTCCAGTCTAACATAATGTTATCAACAAAATGACTTCCCATTATTGCTTAATCTTCCAGTCTGCTAACATTTTGTTCCATATATCTGAACAATGATCATGCTTAGACAACCACAATAGGCTATGCAGTACAAGAAATGGCAACTTACACTATTTTTTGCTACAGTTAATCTCTCCCTCCCCCTCCCCGGATCTCACCATTGTAATTTGTGGCCTGCTTTGTGGTCTGCTGAGGAAAAGTTCTGTTTATTATCAAAATAATCATAAGCTCACAGATTTTAGTGAACCTATTGGCAGCTCATTCATGTAGTGCTAATCTCATCCTTTCTACTGAGGGCTGCTGCTAGTCTTATGGGGCAAACACTAGTGAGTTGCCATGTAATGAAGACTTTTGTGATGACTGCAGTCATCCTGGGAATAAAGTGGTTTTCCAGCTTGACCATCAGTTCCAAAGGGTGTAAACACAGGACAACTCACTTCTTGCCCTCCATTGTTGCATTACAATTAGATTTCTCTATAGCAGCTTGAGCTATGAAGATATTTTTCTGCATTTAGTCACCAAAGTTGCACTGGATGGCTCTGAAAGCATTTGCCCACAGTACTAGGAATTGTATTGATAGCTCCGTTTTTCCCTCTCCTGAGAGCAGTCAGCATGCAGTACTACGTCCACTTATAAGTGCCCCAGAGATGACTGTAACCTCATATTGATCAGCTGATTGAAGATAAATGACAGAGCTGCTGGTATTGCAGATTACATCATTAACATGGTCAGTAAACCATGAATTGTTCAATAAGGCGTTTATCTTTTTTCATTTTATTCTGCTCTTTTATCATTTTTATGATAAGGAACAGTTACACACACTAATCAGGAGGATCTGTTTTAGGAGAGAACAGGCAGGGGCAAGTGTGCCTGTGTCAGAACTAAGCGAAATCTAATGTCTTCAAGACACTTAGTAAATGTTTTTAGCGGTAGAAAAATATAGTCTTCACTGATCATTTTTCTTACTCTCTTTCTCTTTTAGTTTCCTTTTGCTTCATATTTAATGGATGCAGTGCTGGAAAAACTAAATGAGCAGAAAAAGCTGGCAGAAGAGTACAGTTCTTTGGCGAAACAAATGATCTAAGTGCTGGTGAACTGAATTTTGAAATACAGGAAGGGCCTCCATTTTTGTTTTCTTTCGTTTGTAGTTTGCCTCCATTCCTGATATTGACTTGCAGTGATGGTTCACTTCCAATTTATCGTAGCAGGTGCATTTGCTGAATTTACATAGTATTTACCTTAGAGGAAATGAAAATTCAGACTTTCGGGCATGCAGTTAGATGTACATCATCATGCACACTTCTAAGTTCACTTCTTATCCTCAGGTATGAAACAGTCGGCAAAAATTTAAATACTATTGACCATGGGACTTACATCTAAGTGAATAAGTGCTTGTAGAATTCCTTTCTTTTTTCTTCATCCATACATTATAGATACCAAATAGCTAAACATACCAGGGCAGGGGGACTGGCAGAGCCAATTTTGCAGTTCTGCTCAGACCCCACCCTGATCACTGCAGGTTCTGACATCTCTGTCAACATCCCAGTAAAAGTGTTGGGATTTTGGCAGTGGTCACGGGATTTAATGGTAACAAAAGTATGTGGCCCTACGCCATCTCTGGTTGGAAATGCAACACCTAGACTCAGCATGTTTCCCATTCCTTTCCTACAAGTCCAAGGTTTTTAAGCAGTAGTTCAACCATTTAATATTAGTAGTTTCTCATTCTAACTGGAAATAGTTAATCATTTGGTACCAAGATGGCCTTTGTATTTTATTACAAGAAAGCAATAAAAAAATGAAATTTTATTAGCTTCACAGTGCCTGTATTACAACTCACTGAAACTATATCAGTTTCTTTTGTATTACACTCACAAAAACATGTATGGAAATTTTACTTTCATTCCTTCAAAGTTATGAAACTCAATTTGGTATTCTTTTTTTCTTGTAAAACTCACTAAGATTATAGGCAATTTTCCTTTTGTATGCACAAGATCATTTTTAAAAGTGTGAAATGAAAACAATAATTAGTAAATCAGTTTCAGGACTCATTCAAAAGGCTTGTTCTCTCTCTTTCCCTTACCCCTCCCCATTAAGTGTGCAACGTATTTAATTGTATGTAAGAACAATTTTGTCTAAATAAATAATTTTGCTTTTATATTTTTAATTGAAAGCCCATTAAATCTTCTGTGTGAGAGGGTATGTATGTACATTTTTTTACAAGCATCCAAAGTACATCAACTGAAATTATATCCAAAAGAGTAACTCAGGGACAAATGTATGCTTAGAATTAGGGAACAGGTTGCCTCTGAGCACTTGTTCATCCAAGTAATTTGTGATCAACATGACAACCAGCCCCTTCTGCAGGAAAAAAACAGTCTTGTTTTTCCTCCAAGCATTATTTTTAGCAGTACAAATTAGAAAAAAAAAATCTAATTGTTCCTATTTCTTTTTGTTGCACCTACTCTTAAACTACTCAGGCCTCCTTCCCACTATGATTTAAAACAAACTGCTGATTTGGTTATATGTCTGTCATTCCCACTTGAAACCAGTTCCAAACCTACTGCACTCGGTTTCAATTGTGATGAAGCGAGGCAAATGCAAAAGAACCACTCTTTCCTGACACTAGTTTTTTGGCAGTTCTTTTGAAAAGAAATGATTAGCAAGCATGTTCAGCAAGTGGGAATGATGGGCCTGGATTGCATAAACTGAAGGGGAGGGATTACTGTGGCAGAGGGTTGGCACATCCCTCACCCGTTTTGCAAGAAATCTGCCATTTCCCCCCCTCTCCTACCCCAGGACCTATCCTACATTCCAACCTTCTGTCCAGGAGGAATTTCAAAATGTCCTCCATTCTGAGCTTGACTAAGAAGCATGTCCTACAAGTCCTGCAAGGCAGGACTCACCTAGGAGAGAGTCTTCCATATGACACCCAAGGCTGCATGCATCCCAAGGGACTTGGAAGACATGAGGAGTTGAGGTGGTGCCCTCCCAGCCTCGCAAGACTTGGAGAACATGCTTCCTAATCAAGCTGAGAATGGAGGACATTTTGGACTTCCTCCTGGACAGAAGGTTGGAATGTAGGACGGATCTTGGGAAAGGGGAGGGGGGAAATGGCAGATTTCCCCCAAAGCTACTGAAGGAAGGGATACTAGTGAGGAATGGGATCCATGGCACCCATGACCCTCTCCTGTGTTTTCTTGAATGTGTTGCCGGTTGCATCACCGATGATGTGTAGATGATTGACAGGCTGTTTGAAGGGGCACAAACTAGTGGGAACGACAATTGTGACAAAAAAGCAAATAAAGAAAAGACCCGCTTCCATAGTGGGAACAACACATCGACTGGAATCGAATCACCAACCTGGAGCAAAAGCGAATCGCTGACCAGGTTAAAGGTAAGTAAGACTGAGCCCTCAGAGTGAAATACCCTTACAAATAACCCTGAGATCTATTAGAGGAGCCCAGTCTACTTGCTGCATATATCTCTTTCAAAAGCAGAGATGGGCTAGAGTACATTGGCCTGCCAAGCAAGAGGGCACTCTCCTTCCCTCACTGTGCCCCCAGGGATCATGAAGGGCTATTTTTAATTCTTTAACACAAAACAAAAACCAATAAAAAGTCCCATATGACCTCTAGAGGCAACGGGAGGAAATTTTGCCATGATTTTAGACCCTTATCTGTGCTTTAAGCTCAGGAAGGGTCTTTTTTCAAACAGAAAGTATAGTGGAAAGCAACAGTTTACTTTCTGTTTAAAAGAAGTGCCTGTTTCCATCTAAAACAGCCTGGCTTTCCCACTACAACACCTTAAAAGTACATAAGAAAGAAATTTGGCTCAAAAAGGGGCATAGGATCACACTTTCCCCAGTTCTGTTCAAAAGAATGTTAACCACATGTGTGTACTTTCTCCCTCTCCCCTCTTGCAACTGTAGTATTACATGTTGTTGTGTGCCTTCGTCGTTTCTGACTTATGGTGACCTTGGCAAGTTTCTTCAGAGGGGGTTTGCCATTCTCATGAGTCACCCAGTGGTTTCCATAACCAAGCTGGGATTCAATCCCTGGCCTCCAGCATCGTAGGCCAACATTGAAACCACTACACCACACTAGCTCTCTCAGTATTACATATACTACAGCTAATTGCAGTTGGCTTATGACTGAAATGAGACTTTTAAAAAGTTCTTTGGAGGCCTACCTACTGACACAACTGGAAGCGAGCTACTGAATATCTTTCCATAGGAAGGGGTGCAGAAAGTATGTCTTTCCCAAAGTGGTTGCATTGTAATGCCCATCAGCTATAGGTAGCATAACCCTTGGTGTGTTCAGTACCCCTGTTTTACAGCATCAAAAAGACAGATATGAAAAAATGGATTAAATGTTATCTAGTGATATATGAGTTCTTTTTCCACAGTCTTAAGGCATATGCTTCTGGTCAAGGTGCACCTTTTTATGGCTGAGACCTACCCACCCACACCTAAACTTCACAGGAGGTACTTATGAAAAAAGCCACTCTCGCACAACTGTGTTGAATGGATCTTTGAAGCCCTTCCTCAAGAACAGGGGTAGGCAACCTTTCCCCTTTAAGGGCCGAGGGACTTCATCTCCCAGAAGCCTCAGCCATGTTGGCCAATAGTCCCATGTTGGCCAATAGTCCCTTGGCCCTTAAAGGGGAAAGGTTGCCTACCCCTGCTCAAGAAGATGATCCTTTGCAGGCCAAACAAAGGCACATTTCTATTTCCCCATGTGCATTTCGTACCACATGCAGCATCTGCCCCTTTCTACCTCCCCAATTTATTTTGTGGCTGAAGAAAAAGAATATTCTCCTTTAAACCATAATGTGCTGATCCTGCATACCTTTCTAAGTTTTAAAAAATTTCTGCTTTTGGCAGAAAGAGTGGTACAGAGGGTAAGGGGGGAAATGGCTTCCCTGGCCTGCTGAAGTTCCCCACCTCACTTCTTTTAAATAAGAAGGCAAAGAAAGTGCATAGTTACTGTCATTGCTGCTCCCATCTGTTTCACATGGTGAGTCCAGCACATCATTAGTTCATCTGGAGCAGCCATGTCTTAGGTAATTATCACTGTTGGTAAGCCTCTTGTCTATTCCAGTGCTAACTCCTATATTCCTGAGTTCTTGTGAGTGTGTGTGAGTGAATGGTTGTCTCATTGTGTGTGTTCACCAAAAAATTGGGAATAAAATAAAAAGTCATTTGAAGAGAGTTTGCCTCTGTCGGTTTACTATCCCTAGCCCCCTCTGTATAAATTCCTATGTATCACGGGCTAATTAATTGAGCTAACTAAAATTCCCCTAGTCCAAGTTTACATAATATTTTGAATCCCCACTCAGCTGTGGAAATCCATTGGGTGACCTCGGACAAGTATCACTGTCTCAGCCTCAGGGGAAGGCAATGGTAAACCCCGCTCTGAACAAATTTTGCCAAGGGATGCCCATGATAGATTTGTCTTAGAGTCACATAAATTATATTCAGCTTGAATGCCCACAACAGCAATAACAACAACAAACACAATTTATTGAGAGTTTACTTATTTCAGTAAGGATTAATACACATGTATTCTTCTACCATAAACTGCAAGTCTGACCTCCCCACTTTGTGGTTAATCCTGCTTGAACCAAGCATACATCACTAATGGCCTGTTGAACAATGATCCTACTTGCATGGCAGCCTTTCTTATTCAGACTCTACACCAGCCATTTCTAACCTTGGAACCCACCAAAGATCAGACTAACTACAGATCCCATCATCATCCGACAACAGAGCCATTGACAGCAGTTGACAAGAACTGTAGCCCAATACAACTTGAAGACATAGAGTTGGAGAAGAAAACTCTACTGGTAGTGACCTTCAATGAGATTGCTTGCTTGGTGTGGCTAGTTAACTCTAGTTAATATTGTTCACTTTTGCAGTCTCACTTTTGTCAGGCAAATATGGTACTGCTCATCAATGCTCATAATTATCAGGAATTTAAGATGAGATGAATTTTATCTGTCAGCCACCTGGAGTCTCATTCCAGGAGAAGGGAAAGAAAGGCAGGCAGATAAACCTGGATGTATACGTGTCTGCTCACAGTACAGAGTGGTTTTATTGCCTGTAAATAAGGGTGGATTTAGATTATTGATAGAGCTCTGTAACTATAAAATCAATTCAGTACTACAGCAGCGTTGCCTAATTGAATTTCTGGATCTTATTTTGTGGGGTGGTGGGGGCAAGGAACATTACCTGATGATGTGACAAGGCCTGCATCACACCAAAAAGCATGCACAGACACATGACCACATCTGCTATAACAAGGTTATAAAAATATTCTTTGGTAGTACCCAATCTTACATTCCCCTAAGCCAGGATTTACACAAATATCCATTGACACCCTCCCCCATGACTCAAAAACTCAATTTCTCCTCCTTCAATCCCTCTTTTCTTAAATCATTTTTTTGTTTCTAATTCGTGCTCCAGTATTTCTGTCTGCTACCTGAAATAATTTGGAGTCACTTTGTGGTTACTGTGTGTTTCATCTGTGTCTATCATCTCTTTATTATTATTTTGGCACTTGAATGATGGCCTCACCCAGAATGGGCACCAATCCTTTGAGGAGATCTACTTACTTTCCTCATTCCTCTTTTCTTTTAAATTTTCCTGATTGATTTTGTTTTCCGATTGATTCTAGATTCCTTTACCAATATGAGAGCACACTGTTTCTGAATTATAATAAATTTTGAGCCAAGAAATAGTTATATCTTACCAGTCACACTTCAAGGAAGGATGAAGAAAAGGACAACTTATTGAGATACAAAAGGAATCAATGGTGTTCCATAAAAAAAACTATCATACCCAACCTCTTCTTCAAGTAAAGGAGAACTGCAAATCTTCTCTTAGGGTCTTAGGGCTGAACTACATGTACACCAAAATAACCTCTTGCCTCATACTGCAGGTTGGGTACTGCACATTTGAATACACCTATATGTAGAAAAGTAGCATACCAGGACCAGGGAGACAGCATTAGTCTAGTCCTTTTTCTGAGTTGTTAAACTAGCAATCCAAAAAGTGTAGTTCAGCTGATTTTGCTGAAAGTGTGGTTCAGACTTTAAAAGGATGTTCTCACAGATTTGTATAACTAGGACCACCTCTGCCAAACAAGGATGATGGAACGTATAATTCAATACATTTGGTAGGCATTAGGAAAGAAAGCTCATGTAGATGACCTCTGAGGATCATCTATGAAAGCTCTTCACTGGCTGCCAATTAGTTTCCGGGCGCAATACAAAG